ACAGAGTAGATCATTAGTTTGACATTCAGCCATTTGTACACATGTTTAAACTCGTCTATTGCAATTACTTCAGTGAACTGTCACTCATCTCCTTCTTCCCGGTGTTTCCTGTTCCCCTTTCTTCTTCTTTCTAACCCGCACACCTTTGCTGTGGGTAGATGCTTCCCTTTTGAGCTTAGATCACTAAATATTTTAGCAGGAGCCCGAGTTTAATTCCAGACCCGAAGGCCCATAACCTTGAGCATCCCTCTGGTTTCTTTCGCAATACCTAAACTGTTATCTTTTCTTATTTGAGTTTTGGTTCACCCAGTCTATGTCGGCCCTTCTCGCGTGAACATTTTCAGAGGACTTGGCAGTGAAACTGGGTAACAGCTAGCTCTTTTCTTGTTTCAAGGTTGCAGAGGCTGCTGTTGGCTTCATCCATCGGTCCATTGGACAAATGGTTTCCATGTGGCTTTCCACGTTCCTCCACTGAAGGCGAGACCTTAAATTGCTGCTCACTAACGTTAAAGACCCTAGTTGTCACTCACCAAGCTAGCATGTAGAACCTTGTTTTTGTGAACCGCGCGATGCCAATTGAACTTGGTGTCCCCTAAGACTATTGTCCTGACTATGAAGCACAGTGACTCATTCTCTGTAGATATTTGTTTATGTCTAAGGAGGTTTCATAATTGTCCCCCTTTATGCTTTACCACATTCATGGACATATTTGCAGCAAAGGTGAATGCTTGTGCATAGATATTCTCTTTCAAATGTATAAATACTCATGGGCACACTCCCACTCACCCCCCATACCTGTTCAGCCTACATGCCTATCCAAACATTTACTTGTGTATCACTACTATTGCAGGGTTATTTATAGAGCAGTGTTTGGCTGTTACTTTTAACTCTTGCAAACACCCCAGTGTCTTCCCTGCCTCCATCATTTCCTGCTACTTTACAGTTCCACAAACAGTGTATTAGGGTTTAAGTCTCTAAGCACCCTCTCCAGAATTTGTGATTTGGTGTTTTTTGGAACTTTGCTATTAATTTTGGAGTGAGGTGATATTTTGTTGTTTTGGCTTACATCTCTCAAATGATTAAATATCATGAGCATTTATTTGTATTTTTTTTCTTGACCACCTGAATGTTTTCTTTGGTGAAGTGTGTGGTGAAGTGGTGAAGTATTCATGTGCTCTGCTCATTTGTAAATTGTTTTAACTGCCTTTTTCTTGATGAGGTACTGAAGCTCCTTATGAATTTTGAAGATTAGTCTCTTGTCTGATATGTAATTGCCGTTCCCCAACTCCTACTCTGTGGGTGCTTTCTTTATTCTTTGGGTGAAATCTTTAGATAGGCACAAAAATCTAATGTTTATGAAACATTTCGGAAGTCTCAGCCATCTATTGGTCTGCTGTTGTTTATGTACTTTTAATTATGTTTGATGGTGCATTTATGCCATCTCTAAGTGCCTCTACGTTTGTACTTATTCTTGCATTGATGATCTTCATAGTTCTATGTTTTACATGTAGGCCTTTGGTCCATATTGAGCTAATTTCTGTGTATTGTCTGAGTTATTAATCT